CCTACTTTTTATTTCAAGCCAAACACAGTTAATAAAAAAACAATTGCCAGGATATATGGTCCAGATTAACAGGACTTTATGGCTGTGCTAAGGGCTGTACAGTAACTAAAATCATCTCACCCACGTCTCACTGATGTGGAGCACCGCCGTCATGTGGCATCTTTGGAAAGGCAAAGGCCATTGCTTACTGGTTACTGCTTACTGAGATGGAAAAATCTCGGGTTCTGAACTTTTATTTTTTTGGTATGGGGTTCCGGACTTAGGAGTCCAATATGGGCTACCACCTCATGACAATGCAAGTTTATCCCTCCCCCCAAAAAGAGCTAGGTACTAAGCACAAAGTCATGTAAATTTATCTTCAGTCCCAGAGGCGAGAGGCCAGATGGATCGGTTCAGTCAGATTGATTACTCACTACTTCTTCACCAACTATTGTCGTCATTTTTTGTACACGGCCGGTAAATAGAAAGTAAAGGAACATGATGAATTCGATCGGAATTCGTAACGTTCAACGACGTAAAATAATGTACGAAAATATCTGTTAGATCTCCCTTTCTACTCATTCATCCATTTCTCTCTCTTTGAGACGTCTGGATGGCTGGAGAGTGGAGGCTTTTATCGATGAATATTATTAAACCAACCAAAACGAATCGGTTATTAGATATAGCTTAGGTGACGGGATCCCCCTTTCCAAGACAATTGTAGGATGAGTTTCACCTCATTCACACTTTGTCATTGTATGTAGTTGTTGTTTGCACAACTCTGGCCGAGATATTAGGGATACTCCCTCCGCTTCAAAAGCAACAAACCAATGCCAATGTAGCAAAAGGGAATGAATGTACCAAATAGAAGTAATTATTAATGGGCATCACCATCATCGTCTTCTACCAATTACGCTTTTGTGCCTTTCCAGATTATAATTCTCTATCTCTGGGCCGGACTGGACCGGGTGCCCCGGCCGTGTTCTTGTGAGTTGTGAATGCCAATTAATTTCTTAATTTTAACAAAACCTCAAGAGTCCAAATCTAAGTCCCAAGTGACGTTCCTGCAGACATAATGAGTATCTCAAACAACAACGTAACTCTCGTGTATTACTATTACCATTTCATGTGGCGGCCGGTCATCGGTCATATATCTGGGCCATTCTTATCTTATAAACGTGGCGTGTGAGAAGGGAGAAGGAAAAAAAAAAAAAGCTAAGCCCGAACCATCCACGACCACGTTACTCAAAGACCAAAAATCCCCCCTCACAGCTACAATACTACAACAGCATGTGAGTGAAAGCATGGCGCGCATGAATAGTTTTAGACTTGGAATTGAAGGGCAGCAACAAAGAATAATCGAAGAAACAGACATAATAATGTCCAGACACTCCAGACTAGCTAATATGTAAAAATGAAGAAAGGGAGAAGTTTCATTCCTTCTTGTGTAGCCATCCACATGGAATTCCCCCCGATTTGCAGCCCAAAACCAAATGTTTCTATGTTTTCAACATGTATGAAACGGGATGGGGATGGCCCACCCCCCTTGGAAGTTGGAATTTGGTGAAAGTTGAAACCATGCAAGACAAGGTCCAATGTACAACAACTGGCCCATATTGTTCCCCATCAAAAGAACCTGGCCTGCAGCAGGTTGGTCTAACCAGGCTAGCGGGAGACACCCATCGGCCACCATATTACATGCATGCCCTGATGTTTCTACTTTATATTTCTATTTTCTAAAATTGTGGAGGTGTTTTATGTTCCTTCTTGTCTTTTATGTTTATTCCTCTTCGCGCTGATTTGAATTTTGAAGCCAGCCCACATGCCACCCATACCACTTTGTTGAGATCTTGTCCCTTAGCTAGTTAATTATCTCCGCTGCTACAAATTAAGCGGTTGACAGGTTCAAATATTGTTAGCCCCGGCCGTAGGGGGTTGGTCAATTCATGACTTGGTGGCTTTTTGTTAATTAAGCAGAATAGTGATCAATTCATATGTATCCATGGCCAATTAAGCTGTTTTCTTGATTTTGCTTTTAGGGGAAAACATTAATTTACTCATTCCACTAAGGATATATGCAACACTCTATATATGGTCTTAATATTCTATTGGTGGACACGAACCCAGTTGCCCACTACTAATTAGCATTGTATTAAACTTAATTTTTAATTAAAGTTTACATATAATGGCTTGGAGAGACGAGTTAAATCCAATGTCAGCAATTAAAGAAATTATCATGAAAGATATAATGCAGGAAAAATCCAATGTCAGCAATTATCATGAAAGAAATTAAATCCAATGTCAGCAATATATAATGCAGGAAAAATAGTTTAAGAGATTCGGAGAGACGAGTTAAAACAAATTAGATGATGTGATATGTATTAATTAATGTATTAAACATTAACTAATTAATTAGTAGCTTGGAGATTATTAAAAATCAAAATTCATTCGTTCTTAATCTGTAAGTGGAAGTGGTTCAGCAGTATTTTTTAGCCAAAACACAAATTCATTCATCAAAATAGTACAATCAATCATGGTTTTTAAAACCGGACCAGACCAGAAAAATCGGAAATTGATCATCTGATCGGTTCCATTTTTCTCTAAATCTGCTTTTTCTCTCAAAACCATTGATTTTGGTCAACAAATCACTGAACCGGCCGATTAAACATTCGAACCATTTTGATCATTTTTCAAATTTTTTATTTATTTTTGTCAGAATGGACTGGCCATTCAAATTGAACAGTCGGACCGTTCAAACTGGTAACCGAACCCCTGACCGGTTCAGTTTTAAAAACCATGCAATCAACCCCAAGATCAGAGAGTACAAAAGGCTGAGTATTTTGCAAGTTTATGGGATGCGTGGAAGATTCTTCTTGTGTATAAATTCGGATTCAATCCTCACAATACATACGAATAGGAGGTTGTTCCCAATACACGGTGTTAGAACGATTCTGATTTCTGAGGACTGAATCCAAATTACTCATGTACATGTGTAACTGAGACAATAGAGCTCGATGGTTTAGTTCAGCTGAGATATACCGAAATTCTATTGGCACATGCCCCCGTTGAATTTTGAGTCCGGTCACAAAATTAGATCAGGCGACAGCTGGGAACCGTGGGATTGGATTAGGGTTTCAAACTGATTCCACGGCTGAAACCTGGTGTACATCGTGACGGGATCTGCTCTCACAAATGAGCGCCTCACATGCACATCCATAGTGTATTGGAAACATCTCCCATAAATAATAACTAATAAGAATGGGAGATGTTCCTAATAAATGATAGGATGCGCGTGTGAGCTGTTTGTGAGACGCCAAGTTTGAGGAGCAGATCCAGTTTCGTGTGCACCTGCTTGAATTAATTAATTAATTCGGGCCCAATTATAAGTTAATGGGTAGCGTTGAAATGGGATCTGCTCCTTACACTCAGGTGCCTCATATGTACATTCACCGTGCTCTTCACATGCGCCTTCTGTGAAGAGCAGATCCAGTCTCAGTAGCGTCGGGCCAACGTACCAACGTGAGGGATGAGATCAAGTGAGGCTGCCATTTGTCACTCTTTCCCACGAACGACGAAATAATATGAGAGAGAGAGCATAGTGAATCAGTGATACATGGAGGTATTTTATATTTATAATTTACATGTTTCATCGCAAAAATAAATGAAGTGAAAGTATGCCCATGTTGATACTTGAAAGTTGAAACCATCAGCCGCATATCAATCATCATGAACATGGAAACGCATTCACAAGTTACAATGAATTTGTGTTGAGGTCATTTCACTCATGTGGTTTATATTCAAGTACGAGGCCACAACTTGTGAAATATAAAGGATAAATCTCATCAAGTACAATTAAGACGAAGAAGACGAAGAGTATAAATACAAATATCTATAATATAAATATATATAAAATGTAAGGTTTTGTATTTTGTATATTTGTATTTATATTCCTAAACTGAGTCTAAATTTAGGAAATTGATTAACTGTTTATAATATTTAGATATTGTTGTAAGGAATTCTTAGGTTTTATGACAGTTAATTACATGTGATATCACGTGATATATAGAACTCAACATCCACTTTGCAGACAAGAACATAGTCTTGTTCACAGGTTAGAAAACTTTTCCAATGGAGAAATATTGCCATCAGGAGAAGACCAGCATGGTATTATTCAAATATTTTATTTTGAAAATAAAAAATAATAGATAAAATAATTTTTTTTTTTTCATTTCCTCTAAGGAATGCTAATGGTAGAAGAGAATTTAGTTAATTGTCAAAAAATTGGAAATACTTTTAAGTGAATTTCTAAACTGTAGCGGCAAGTAAATCAATTTTCTAAATTTTTGGAATGCTTTAAAGATTTCTACAATATCAAAATACTACCTTAGCGATATCATGATCCTAATTTCATCTTTGCCACTCACTCTTAGGTTGATGTAGTACACGGACAATCACGAAGAGTAGTACCTCGCTGAAACAAGGAAATCAGAGAATTTGATGTGTTGCTATTGGCTCGGCCTCGACGTCTTGCGGCCATACCGCCATAGCAATAGATGGCCATAATTCTCGATTTTAGCTGTGCGTGTCGTAGCAAAAGTGAATTTTATTTCAACCTTGAACTCAGTGTATTTTATAAGTCTCTCACTCGAGTCAGATCTTGATTCTAGCCCAAACACACAGCCCCACCATCCTTTCCAGGCTTAATCTCCTTCCTAGCTACTCATGGTCTCATACGGCTTGAAAAACGCGCGTCGAGATTCATGACTTTCCCAAAGACAGTGAACCAAAGTCGATTGGAGGTCAAAAATTTAATAGGTCGCGTGGCAAACGTCGGCATTAATCTCACCTCTTACAGGCGACAATCCCGTCGCTGCTTTTACAAGAGCAATAATGATTATTTTAATCCAAAACTTCGTTTTGACCTAGCGAGAGAGACAGAACGAGTGGGATTGGCCGATTGAGCTTATATTCGTTCCAAAATGTAGTTTAAGTTTGAACAATTAGATGTCGCCGTAGAAACATACTAAACTAGCCACTTCTAATCTACATGCATGGACCGAGTTATCCGTCTTTCTACATAGAAAACGGACCGAACCCAAAAGGAATGAATCAAATGAGTACACATGTTGAGATAGATCTAATTAACGTTCAGGTTCGCGATCGTAAGACGACAACCGGAAAACCCACTTGGTCAATGACCTTCTTCTCGAGTTTCTGTCCAGCTGACGTTGACCTCGAGTATCAGCATGGTTGGTGGTTGTGGTGGTAGCCACGATGGAGTCGACAAAGGCCTTGATTCGTTGCATTGAGAGGTTTAGCGTCTCTTCAGTCATGTTGGCAAAGCATACACGAAACCACCCTGGTTCGGTGCAATGGCAAGAAGCCCCCGGAGAGATGTTTAGACCAACGTCGTAAAGAATTTTCTTCCACAGTTCCATCTCTGCCTCGAAACTATTAGAACTTAAGAGGTGTCTCATGTCTACCCAACAGAACAAACCGGCGTTGCTCTTCAAGCAACTGATACCGGCATTCTTTAGGCTGGAGACTAGCATGTCGTGCCGTTTCTTAAGCCTCCTCTGGTTCTCTATAATGTAGTTTTTTGCGAACTTGGTGTCGGAGAGGATGGCAGAAAGAAGATACTGGGTTTGAGAAGAGATAAGTCCAAAACTTGACATTTTGGTTGCGGTTGAGACCACAGTGACGTCGTTAGAGTAAATTGCACCCACTCGGAATCCAGGAAGACCTAGATCCTTGGACAGGCTATAGATGATATGGACCCGGTCCCAAACTTCAGTATTCTCAAGGTTTCTGTCCATTAGAACCTCTGCAACGCTTACGAACTTTGGCGAGTCAAAGACTGTTCCTGAATAAATTTCGTCACTTACTAAGTGGATTTCTTTGGCAGTGACAAAGTCAATGAGGCGGTTGAGTTCATCGCGGCTGATGGTCGTGGCCAAAGGATTGGAAGGATTGGTGATAAGAACCCCTTTAACCTTCAAATTACGTTTTTGGGCTTCTTGATAAGCTTCGTCTAGAGCAGATTGAGTAATTTGGAAGCCGTTAGAACTGTTGCATTGTATCGGGATGATCTCAACCCCGGTTCGCCATTTGAGATCTCTATCAAACCTGAGAATAATCCAAAAAAAAAACAATAAGCTAACTTATTTCATTTTTATTAGAAGATACATTATATGATCAACTAAAACAATAAGAACATCAAATAAACATGAAAAAAAGTTTACCCTGGATAGTATGGAGCAGGAAGAAGGAAAGCTTCCCCGGGTTCGGCGAGGCAAAAGATAAGCGTCTCATTAGCAGAAGTTGCACCGGCAATGAGGACCAGCTTGTTAGGATCAAAGCTTACTCTGTTTCCTCTTATCTCTGCCATGAATTCCACCAGTGCCTACATAAAGAGAAAAATGAAGATTCAATAACCATGCTACAGACCTAATTCAAGATTTCAAATTAATGGATGAGAAAAAGAATGCATGATGAGTTAAAAATTTACTTTCTTAAAATCTGGGAGGCCATGATAATCTTGAAATAGCGCGAGTTCTCTGAATATGGATTGTCCATGTCTCTTGAAACTAGCTGCGTCTGGGTTGTTCGCGAGCCACGATTCAAGAAGGTCGAACGACAGCTATATAAGAGACGGAAGTAAGAAAATGTGGTCAGCATTTGAACTGAAGGTTGCAACATTTGGATACACTTGTGGTATTGTGATGGGCTAACAGGCTAGCTAAACGCATAAAATTAAAAATAAAAGCCACATACCTGATTTTCAGCAAGGCCCATCTGAATAATTCCGGTTGGATTCCGAACATCATCGTAAGGATTCTTCTCGTATTCTTGCCATCCTAAGAAGTAAGAAGAATCTTGTCCGTGTGAGTTGCACGTGGCTTTTCTAGATAGCAACTTCATCTTCTTAATTTCTGTTCTTAGAGGAGTTGGGGAACGGAAGCGAACAAAAACAAACTGAGAGAGTTACAGAAAGAACCACAAGGTGAAGGAGAGAGCAAGCGAGTCGAGAGAGAGAGAGAGGGCG